ACAAAAAAAATTTCAAGTTGAAAATCAAGCGTCGTTTGTAATTAAACGGTCAACAATAATGCAAAACGTGCTGAAATAAAACATCTGGAAAATACATTTCTCTTTCTAAAACACTGATTACTTTTTAAAATATTTGAAGTAGTTTCGTATAAAATGTACTTAAGCGGCAGAAAAGCGCTACTGGCGTGGGTGCCTACAGGCCTCTACCACACCACTCAGTACTCATAAATGGCTTAGTTATAGTGCTATAATAACGTTTTTGTTATATTTTATTGATTATATTAACGAACAAATATTAATACAATAATTTAATTGTAAAAAATTGTTTTTTTTTTAATTTATTATTTTTGTTTTCATTTTTCATTATTTTTTTTTTTTAATTTAACTTCATTTATTCTATACGGAGATCGCTTAAGAAGGCCTCTATTATAAAAATTATAAAATTATAATAATAAAACTTAATTCAAAAATACTTTGCAGAATATCTTGATTTTTTTATTTAATATTTGCAATTTAACATTTTGTTTTATATATTTACTGATTCTTAGAGGTAATTTAAATTGTATATACTTCCCTGGAAATGAGTCATATTAATATCTGTTTTATAAACTAAAGTAATATATACCTAATCTGAACTACTTTTAATGAATAGGTGATGGATTGTTTAGTAAAATTCATATATCGCTATTAAAAAAAAACATTTTTATTTCCTTTATTTTATTCGGAAGTTGGACCATATCATAAAAAATAGGAACTTTTAATATTAAAGTGCATTATTCCCTCTGCACAAATGAAATATGGAAAGGGCGAAGCTATAAGTTCTTCTATGTAACTGGAACTGATTGTTAGTATTTGGTCTCAAAATGAGGGAAAACGCGAAATTGAACCCAAACATTGGAAAAATACATTAAGCGAACGACAGTGCCAAAATTTCGGAAAAGAAAACAAGGATCAGTATCCATTATATGGCTAAACGAATATATAGTAGACAAATGAACGGAATATTTCAAGATTCTGCTAAATGGAGGTAAAAATGCTTGATAAGTTTGGATGATATTAAGCAGGTTTATTATGGTGAAGACCATTTCATCAGCAAGAAAGATTTGTTCTAAACAATTGGCAAGCAGGTCTGGAGGAAGTAAACGAGGTTGATAATGGTGTAAACCACTTTATTTTAGATTGCTATTGAAGTTGTACATTGGGACTATCTCCACTTTGAAGCAGGTTATACAGAGGTCTATTGATAAAAGGAAATAGCTCTGCTCCTCTTTAGTGCAATTCCAAAAATTTTTTTAATGAATCTGAAAGGAAAACGAGCTTTTGTGAAAGACTAGTAGATATTCGATCAATCCAAAGTGTGAGGCACTAAGCAGATAGAGAACCATTTTTCTTTCTCTGTGGACTTCTCTATAACCTACCTTAAAGTGAAGACAGTCCCAATTTGCAACTTATGTTCAAATGTGCAACTTGAGTTTCTCAATCCATATCGCACAGGCATTCGACAATATTTCTAATTTTAGCTTCTACGATTCTTGAGTAGCCTTTCTTTGGTACTATAAACAATAAGGAATCTCGAACAACATTTCCTAGTATCTCATTTCCTGTAAAGGGACAAAACTACAGTCGTTTCATATCATTTTCTAAGCAGGTTTATTATGGTGAAGACCATTTCATCAGCAAGAAAGATTTGTTCTAAGCAATTGGCAAGCAGGTCTGGAGGAAGTAACCCGAAATGCTGTGCTTATATGTGAAACAATGATGATATGAAACGACTGTAGTTTTGTCCCTTTACAGGAAATTTCCTTTTATCAATAGACCTCTGTATAACCTGCTTCAAAGTGGAGATAGTCCCAATGTACAACTTCAATAGCGATCTAAAATAAAGTGGTTTACACCATTATCAACCTCGTTTACTTCCTCCAGACCTGCTTGCCAATTGCTTAGAACAAATCTTTCTTGCTGATGAAATGGTCTTCACCATAATAAACCTGCTTAATATCATCCAATATCATCAAGCATTTTTACCTCCATTTAGCAGAATCTTGAAATATTCCGTTCATTTGTCTACTATATATTCGTTTAGCCATATAATGGATACTGATCCTTGTTTTCTTTTCCGAAATTTTGGCACTGTCGTTCGCTTAATGTATTTTTCCAATGTTTGGGTTCAATTTCGCGTTTTCCCTCATTTTGAGACCAAATACTAACAATCAGTTCCAGTTACATAGAAGAACTTATAGCTTCGCCCTTTCCATATTTCATTTGTGCAGAGGGAATAATGCACTTTAATATTAAAAGTTCCTATTTTTTATGATATGGTCCAACTTCCGAATAAAATAAAGGAAATAAATTTTTTTTTTTTTTAATAGCGATATATGAATTTTACTAAACAATCCATCACCTATTCATTAAAAGTAGTTCAGATTAGGTATATATTACTTTAGTTTATAAAACAGATATTAATATGACTCATTTCCAGGGAAGTATATACAATTTAAATTACCTCTAAGAATCAGTAAATATATAAAACAAAATGTTAAATTGCAAATATTAAATAAAAAAATCAAGATATTATGTAAAGTATTTTTGAATTAAGTTTTATTATTATAATTTTATAATTTTTATAATAGAGGCCTTCTTAAGCGATCTCCGTATAGAATAAATGAAGTTAAATTAAAAAAAAAAAATAATGAAAAATAAAAACAAAAATAATAAATTTAAAAAAAAAATAATTTTTTACAATTAAATTATTGTATTAATATTTGTTCGTTAACATAATCAATAAAATATAACAAAAACGTTATTATAGCACTATAACTAAGCCATTTATGAGTACTGAGTGGTGTGGTAGAGGCCTGTAGGCACCCACGCCAGTAGCGCTTTTCTGCCGCTTAAGTACATTTTATACGGAACTACTTCAAATATTTTAAAAAGTAATCAGTGTTTTAGAAAGAGAAATGTATTCTCCAGATGTTTTATTTCAGCACGTTTTGCATTATTGTTGACCGTTTAATTACAAACGACGCTTGATTTTCAACTTGAAATTTTTTTTGTAAAAAAAATTGAGTTTACCGATTTTTTTTAATGCCTAAGCCAATTAATTTTTAATATTCTTTCCTGTTTTATTATTCTCTGACTATTCAGCTTTAATAAAAGACCAACTATAATGAAATTAAGCCATATGCTGATTCTCAGTAACAAAAAAACTAACTAAAGTCAAAGGCGTCAATCCGCCATGTTTGGGGCAGTTCGTTCACTTTTTTTTGTGGGAACATTGGCTTTTTTTTAATAAATTGTCACAAGGAGCACAACGATATGCAATTTATAGGGATGTGGGGGGGGGGGTGCACGGTAAGTGGGTCTGGCCCACAGACTATTGTGAAAGTAATTAGCCTAATCATATAGAAAATAGAATCATAGTTCACAATCCCCTAACTTTTTTTAAATTTTGGACAAATGTATATATATACGTGAATAAGCGAATGGAATTTAATGAAAGTGATATGGAACCATCTTGGTACCAACCCAAATATTAATGTCACACCATTAACGGAGATATGCTACTCATATGGATTTAACAGAAACCAAATTTGTTTCTTAATGTCTGAAGATGTGTAAGGACAGGATACAATACATGTTTAAGAACAATGGACCATCAAAGAAGATAGATGTCTGTAGCTTAAATCCTTCATTCCCATTTTAAACGAAAAAAAGTTGCTTGATGTGCAGTCAACTTGTCAACAAGTGGTACAGAACAAAATGGTAGATTTTCATCAAGAAGGTTGTTATTATTATTTAGTTGGTATGTATATTTATATATGAATTATTTTAATATATATTTGAAAACATTTCATTAATTTTAAAATACGATTCATGGTTCATTGTGTTGTGTGTGAAAGGAGGTTGTAATAGAGTTAATTGAAACACTAACAGCTGTTCTGGCATTGTGGGACTTGAGAGAGCAATGATTATTGGGACAAGTATGACAAAATCAATGAAAGATCATAAATGGTTTCACATTTTATAACTAATGTGGATAGATATCTGAGAAAACTTGATTGCTGGAAATTTGTTATGCTAGTACATTAATTCCTTGTAGCTAAATAGCACAGAGTAACTGCCACTCCACTCCTACTATTGTTATTTCATATTCATTTATTGCCTACCAAATAGTTTCTTTTTTTAAATAAGATTTTGTTAAACTGATGAAATTGCGAAATGATCTATCATTATTGAAAAGTAATCCCGACCTGACATTATCACCTTGATTTATTTTTAAAAGACTCTCTTCCACTAACTACATTTTCACTTTTTTGGTATGATTTACTATTATGATGAAAGCGGCAGTTACTTATTTTTGTTTGTACATGCAATACTATTTAAAATCTGTTTTCGAAAATATTTTTCCACTAACCATCAATAAGGTGCCAACATTTTGCATCTTGGTCAGGATATACCTTAAAACTTAAAATTAGATTGGACATTTTTTTTTAATTCTGTAGAAATACGAAGTTTCAGTAGTGAGGAAATTAAAAAAAAATCAATGATGTACCTTACTCAATTAAACAGAAAAACAACACTCCGCCTTATTATATGTTTCATATATAAATAATAGAAAGTAAATCTATATTGATATCAAATAAATTATGAAATTCAATTTGAATTGAAACATGAAAGGGAGTAAGTTCGAAGAAAGCGATACTTATATTTATACTTAATAATCCATCAAGCTTTACAAATTAAAAACCACAATCAAAGTTAAAATTAAATTTTTTTTCAAATTTTGAATCTATATCCTTCAAAATTTTCAGTTATATTTATATGCACCTAAGAATTCTTAATACTTTTTAAGATTTCTCGAGTCAACTATATTTTTGTTGTTGATGGTGAATTAATAAAACTAATATTCCACTCATGTATGTATACATATTAAGAATAAGCATTTATTTGCATTATATAAAAGCAATAAGCAAGTTGGAGGAAAAAAAAAATTAACTTACAAGATGTTTTATGACACATTCCATTTTTATAGTGCGCTTCTTTTGTGCACTGGCAACCACCAAGCTGACTATTTGAATCACTAAAATAACACTCAGAGTGAACACCAAATGTCGATTTACATTGAATATCCTTTTTACAGTGGTCGCCAATGAATGATGCTTCTATAGTTAATAAAGATCGTAGTTAGTGATGTATATATAAAATGTTAGTGATGTATATATAAAAAACATGATGATTTTAACTTCAATTAATATAAAAAATTGATAATTTAGAACCTCTAAGACACACAGTATGATAAGCTTTCTTTCCGGGTATATTTGGCTCACGATCGGGAATATAGTGTTCTTTGCATTGACATATTCCACTTTGGTGACAATAGGCATGAGCTGAACAATTGAAATTATTAGTGCAACGAATATGATTTGGGTCTGAAACGATATATCAAAGTTACAGAAATATATAAAAATTAAAACATTTCAAATGATAATTCTTTAATGTTTTTATCTTAAATTATTACCTTTTTTGGGTTGATCAAGACAGAATGATAGATTACTTGACCAAGTTATGAAGATAAAGGTGATTAAAAGGATATTTACAATGGCCATCATACAGAAAATTAATTAAAATAATGTCACATAAAGTAAGTCAATGAATCATTACTACCCCACCTAGCCTCTCAATAGCTTATCTAACTTGTGATTAGATATAATCTTGAATTAAAAAGATTATAACTCAGAGGGGATTAACAGGTGAATAAGAATTGTAGATAATACAATTATACTCTGTTGTCACTATAAATTCTGAGCTAAAACAGAAAAAAAAAAATTCTTTTGGTAAATTGATGTCCAAACTGAAACAATTTATCAGTAAAATTTTGGATATCATTAATAAACCTGTACCATTGTGATTTAGTTTAACTGAAATATTATGTTTTGGTTCTAATTAATTTATTGAACAAACAAGTTTGTCAAATCATAAAAAAGCTCTGAATTTTATACTAATTGTATACATTCATCCTATTAGAAAACAGTACGTCTTCAAAAGAGATATTGGGCACCAGAATGATCTGGGTAAAAAACTTTGATAATTATGCCTAGGAAATAAATATTCTCAATTACCACTAATAGTGCAAAATTAGCTCGAGCTAACAATATTAAAATTATTTTCTTCAAATATTAATTATTACACTGCATTACCACCTAAACTGACATTATCTTGTTGAATACACTTTTAAAAAATTAGGAATTGTTAATTTTTGAATTGTACCACACTTCTTCCTAAGTAACAATATATAAATATATTTGTATATATTTTCAGGACTTCTAAGATTTTTAAATGTTGAATAACATAAGGAAATTGAAGATAAAATACTAAATACACAAACCAAAAATAATTACTTCATCAATACTGGTATTGTTAAAAAAATTATAAGAATACATAACTTTAAATGCCACTGACTAACATGGGTATACTTAAAAGGTATACCTTCTCTACATTGAATTTATATAAATCAAAAGTTTATATTAATGAATTACACATTATACAATAAGAGTAGGAGGGTAGTTATGGGTGTACATTAAAATAATTAAATCACACTTAAGCGAACCTTTCTTTAGTTTCTTGAATATTGAAAATAATTTGAAAAATTAACTCTCCATTTATTTAAATTATAGAGAAACACTATGGTTATTATAGATTAAATACACAATTAAATAATAGAACACGTATCTATCACTTGACATCCGCATACTGTGATTCACATACTGCTCCGGTACAATCTGAGAGAAGGTTATATGCTAATTAATTGTAAACAAAGAGGTTTTCTTCATGGAAGCAGTTAAACTTTGAGTATATGGGCTCATTCTACAATCCTACTCTGAATGCTCATCATCTTCAGTAATACGATAAATCTTAAAAGATAGTTATAAGTATAACTCAACAGACACACTTCTTTATCATATTCGATATAATTTATCCAATGAAGGGCCCTTCCTCTCCTTCCAGTCTAATTTGCCTATCTTCTATTATCATTACAAAATTTTCCACTTATTGTTAACTGTTGAAGATTTTATTCAAGAATAAATCTAAATATTGGAAATGGTGGTGATATTGTTGGGAGTATGGAGTTTTGCTGTTTACACCCTCACTTGTATATTTTACCTTATCTGAATTGTATTGTACTTTGTAGTGTAGTTTTTCATTTTAACCTCATTATTTAATATTATTATTCATTATTTATGCATATACATTTGGTTTATCATTACTTTTTATGTTCCAAATTTTCATATTTTGTGTTATTATTATTACTTTTACTTACCTATGTATGTAATATATAGTAAGGGAATGTATTGCGATCGTGAAAGTTTCTGAATCTGAGTTTTCAACAGAAATACATGTTTTGAGGTACCCTGAGTTCAAATAACAAAGTCCCGCAAAATGGTCTGTGTGTCTAATAGATGGGGAAAAAAAAAGATCAGATAAATCTGGCTTTTTTTGGCTGTTTTCTCTTAAGTTTTCTCTTGGTGAGCCGTGTTTGCAACAGTATTACCACGCGCTCTGCGACAAGACCTCGTACTGCCTCGTACGGTTGCACATTCATAACTCGTACTATTGTAAGCTCAGTGTTATTGTTTTTTATAGTAAAATTAGGTCAGAGCTTTTTGTTTTTACCTCCATTCATATATTTTAAAGCCTTTTTACATTACTTTTTTTTAAATTAATGGGTCAAGAAGTAAAATTCGGTTAATAAAACATATAAAAAAGTTTATATATTTTTATTAGAAACTACTGGGCACTATATAAAAATTGAAATAGCAAAATAAACTTCTTAAAGTATTCTTCATCAATATCCATTAGTAAATCCAAGATTTAATTTGAGGGAGGACTAATTTGTCTTCTTTTATGTAGAAACAAAACAACTACTTTTATGAAACGACGTTAGTGGTTCTGGAAGGCCAATAAAAATTAAATTTGGGGCATTGATACTTTTAGAGATATCCATTATGATATAAAAAAATGAATAGATTGTGATTGTGAAATTAAAAAAAAAAAACATATATATACAATCATGGTTTTATGAATGAAATAATAATCATACTCTAATTAAAGAAGATATAATTCCAATTTATTTGTCTAGAAAGCAACAGAAGTTCAGTATTTCATATTAATATAAATATTAATACAGTAAAAATAATTCTAAACTTCATTCATAAAAATATAACCTTGCATTGCAAACGTCAGCAAAAGTTATGTACGAAGTACGAGGCTGGTCTATCATCTTACTTCGTACATTACGTCATAACCTCGTACAAATACGAGGATCCTCGTACAAACGGCAACACTGGTTTGCAGTTTTGTTTTTTACATGTCTATCTATGCAGAGTGTAAGTAGAGGGAAATATTTAAAGAAGTGACAGCAGAACTCAAGAACTACAAAAAAGTTTATATAAACAGTTGTTCGATTTTCAGCAGGAAAATAGGAAATTTAAGTTTTGTGTTTTTTTTAAGTGTCACGTTTTTTATTGAATAGGAAGTGATAATTAAATATATTTAATTTCTGTAATTAATAATCGATTCACTTTAAACTAGACAACATTTAATTTAAATAAGAATAGAGTTAGCTTATGTTCAAACCATTTAAAGAGGACTTTTGATCGGCTAAACTCAGATAAGGAATGGAGAGAGATGGGTACTGGTAGGGGAACGAGGAGGGATGGGGAAAGCATCTGGTACAGAAATGTGCCCCTGCCTGAGAAAATTCCTGAATCCGCCACTGATGTGGCTCGGATGTAAAAGCGGAGCCAGCCAGGGGGCGCAGGGAGCGCGTGCCTCCCTCTGGAGGCTAGAAAAAAATTCCAAAAATCAGCTACCTAAAGCAAACAGAAATGCAGGGAAAATTTTTCCTCATACACGAATTTTCCAAGGTAATATTAAAAAATAATAGTTACAATCGTGACCTGCACACGCGAATTCTGTCAGGTGGCGCGCTCTCCCTTGGATGGTAGAAATTTTTTTTAGAAAAAAAATACACCTATTTAAAGAAAAGAAAAATATAGGAAAAATTTATCCTCATAGACAAAGTTTCTAATGTAATATAGAAAAAAGTTATTATCGTGACCAGCACTAGTGATTTCTTCCAGAGGGCGCCTCCCTCTCTGGTTGTTAGAAAAAAAAAAGATACAAAAATACAGCTATTTAAAGAAAATTGTTTGTGAAAAGAGATGGGAAGGCTTGTGCTCCTTTCGCAGTTTTTTCCTATTGACTCTGAGCTGAGTCTCGCTGGTGAAACACATGATGTAGAAAAATTTATTTAAAAAAAATGAACTTCATCTATTCTTTCAAACAACCTTTTACTCGAGCACAAGAAAATACGGGTTTTCTTCCGGACTCAGTTTTTACTCAGTTCCAATAGATCTGGACGCATTGCAACTTTCAGCAATTATAGGCTCCTTGAAGAATCCATGCGATTCATAAAACTGGTCACAATAATAATTTGTATATTTCTCATTAAAAAGTGTTCTTTTATTAAAATAGCTGCTGTTGGGAACGTTTTCATGAAGGGATGTACTAATTATTCTTAGTTTTTTTTCTTAGACAACTCATTTCCAAGCTGCAGGGCCATTTATAGTAACTTTTCTCAGATTTTGACAATGCCGGTAAAATTCAGCGTTCATTTGCAGTGATTATCGACCACATCACTTATCAAATTACACAACTGACCATATCAAATTATTTAGTTTAGGTACTCGTTCGACGCAAAATTTGTGGTTCTTTGATTTCTTAAAGAATACGTTTTTTTTGGCTTCGATGCACTGTTTAGTAGTAATAGATGGAAACAAAAAGATCAGATAAATCTGGAATTTTCGGCTGTAAAAAGTTTTGTCTTAGTGACCCGTGTTAGCAATTTAGTTTTTTACATGTCTAAACCCATATACAGGGGGTCGCGTAAGTAGAGCGAAATATTAAAAGGAGTGATAGAAAAACTCAATAAATACAAAACAAGTTTATATAAACAATGATTCGATTTTTAGGAGGAAATTAGAGACTTAAAGTTTTGTGATTTTTTATGTCACGTTTCTTGTTGAATAGGAAGTGATAACAAAAAAACTATTTAATTTAAATAATTAATGATTGCTTCACTATAAATCAGAAAAAAATTACTTTATATAAAAATAGAGTTTATATTTGTAAAAACCACTTAAAGAGGACTTTTGAGCGACTAAACTCAGCTAAGGAGTGGAGGATGTGGGTAGTGGTGGGGGAAGCACGTGGTAGAAGTGCGCCCCCTCTGAGAAAATTGCCACTGCTCGGATGTGATAGCACCTTTTTCATGAAATTCAACTAACTGGAAGTGCCACTTTATATTTTCTCGAACACCTTTTCGAACGATTTTGATTAAACTCGGCGTATCAACGTATAATTAATATCATTTAGGTGAAATCCCTATTGATGTCGTTTAACAGGACTTAATGCCCAATGTTCAAAATGTCTTCCTCTAAAGTACCTTTAATTTGATTTATTTTAAGTAATTAACTATATTTCCTTGTTAGGAGTTATGAAAAAATGCTAAATATAACTTTTAATAGAATTTGATGACTGAATAAACCAGAACAAAAGAAAAATGCTTATTCAGATCGAAAATGAATCTCCGGAAAGTGGAGAATTTTAGTGTAAAAGCACCAGTGGCTAACAGTGTACCAATACCTGACATCATCCTTGAAAAATGAGAATAATTAGATTTCATAATCATTTAGACCTCTATTTCATTAATTCTTGGTTTCTATATTTTCTCCTTAAATATTTGTTTAATTTGCTAAAATCTTGCCAAAAACTATATCTGAAATAATGTGTGGGAAATTAGGCAGGTTCCTCAAGGTCCACTTAGTGTCCCATGAACAACCATCAAGATAAGGGTACCATACATTATGTTTTCCCTTTTCTCTATAATTACTTTGATTCATCCCAATTTTTTTGTTTTATTTTATCTTGGAGTGTTTTTAGATTGTATTTTATTTTTTTAAAACTTATTTTGATGAAGAAATGGGAAATTTAATGGGTGTCACCTACTGGCTCCTTATAATGGGACTTTTCGCCAGTAGCTGACCCGCCTGGACCCTCTTAAATTGTAAGAGATATACTTGATATAAAGGATCTTATAAACGAGACTATTTAAAAAAAAAAAAATTGATCTAAATGTGTTTTAAATATAATGCAAAAATAGGTTTTCCTATTGCAAAAACAGGTTCTTTATGATGATTAGCATTTATCCATAAATTGAAGTCGATAAATGAAATGAAGTTAGTTATATAATAAGTTAAAGGTAATTATGTTAATATATATTCTAGAATGGAGAATATAATATTTATTTCCCATAAGTACATCCTTATTCTCATCCCTTTTATCCATAGCAGCATCAAATAGTGTCAGCTACTGGTGCAACAAAACTTTTCTCTAAATTTATAATTTTTTAAAATATTGATCAATTTGAAAGATGCCTGCATAAGGCTAGAAGTAATTCTATAAGATGAATTCAGGAAAGTACAATAACATTTTTCTTAAAATTTTTACACGTAAAAGTTCATAGAAATTGCCAACTACAGCATCATTACAAAATTAAGCATAATTGCCAACTACAGGTGCATTTGTCCTAGAAAAAATAATATATAATAAATAAAGATGTAGAGATGGTTGACTGTTGATATAATATGAGAAGGAGTTAGTCGAGGGTGCGGTCAAATAAATA